ACTCCACAGCACATAACAACAACAACAAGAGAGTGTGACATCATGAAAGCAAAGGAGTGGAGAGGGCAGAGGGATGGATCAGAGCATTCAGAAGTCCAGGAAGGATAATGGCTGAAAAATTCCCAATAAACTCTGATGTTAGCTGTTGACTGGCAACTGCAGAGTGGTGTTGGAGGTCTGATAGAACCCAGACTACAGTACACTGAAATGTGATAGGAGGAGTTCTTGTTAGACACCATTGATAGGGGGAAAGGGGATGAACATCAATAGGTAATAATAAACATCAATCAGGTTTTAAACTAAGTTTGAATAAAAGTAAGAGGATTACATTTGTGTGGCAATTAGGAAGTGTCAACACAGATTTTTATTTTTATGGTGGTTTGGATTTGGGCTACAGGAGCTTTGTTGTTGTTGTTAAGTGCCGTTGAGTCTGTTCCAACCTATAGCGACCCTGTACAGGGTTTCCAAGAAGTGGCTGGTGAGCTTGAACTTCTGACCTTGCAGTTCAAACCAACTTAGGAGTCCAATGAATTAACCCACAGCACCACGCCAGGACTCCAGAGGAGCTTTAAGCCTTCTTTATTTCTCGGTTGAGGGTAAGTTCAGGAAAAGTTGCAGATATAAGAGAACATTAGCATGGGTCCTGGAGTGAAGGTGGAAGAAGCATGGAGGGTCAGGAGAAGACATGGAATATTTGGAGTGACCATGATAGATGTCTCATTCTTTGAACCTTCAGGAAAGGATATAAGAATGTATGTAAGAAGAAACTAGAGTTCTTGCCTGCAGCTTCATTTTTTTCTGAGAAGTATGAACTAGAATAAGTGTCAGAGAAATTGAGTAAGGACATTGAGAAGATGATAAAGTTTCAAAATGGGAAAGGAAGCTGACAGAGGACAAGAAAACATATGGGACCAGTGGAACTTCTTGCTGTTGTAGTTAAGCACCACCAAGTTGGCTCCACCCCACAGCAAGTCTATGAACCACAGACTGAAATGCTGCTAAGTCCTGTGTCATTCTCACACATAGGAAATCATTTCTAAGTTTGAGCCCATTACATCTCAATGTAAAGAAAACAAAAATCCTCACCACTGGACCAATAAACAACATGCTTATCAATGGAGAAAAGACTGAAGTTGTCAAAGACTTCATTCTCCTTGGATCAACTATCAACACTCATGGAAGCAGCAGTCAAGAGATCAGACGACGTATTGCATTAGGCAAATCTGCTGCACAGGAACTTTTTAAAGTGTTGAAGAGCAAAGATGTCAGCTTGAGGACCAAGATGTGCCTGACCCAAGCCATGGTATTTTCAATAACCTCATATGCATGTGAAACTGTACTTCCTCCAAGACAAATGTGTTCATTCGTCTGTCAGTCCAAGTTAAATTTCATATTCTTCACCATAGTTCAAATGCATCAATTATTCTTTGGTCTTCCTTATTCATTACCCAGACTTCTCATGTATATAAAGCCATTGAAAATACCATGGATTGGGTCAGGCATACCTTAGTCTTCAAAGTGACGTCTTTGCATGTTAACACTTTTAAAGAGATCTTTTGCAGCAGACTTGTCCAATGCAATACATTGTTTGATTTTCTGACTGTTGTTTCATGGGCTCCAAGTTAAATGAAATCCTTGACAACCTCAATCATTTTCTCTGTCTATCATGATGTTGCTTACTATCCCAGCTGTGAGGATTTTTGCTTTTTTGTTGAGGTGTAATCTGAATGCTTTATTCTATGATCTTCATCAGTAAATGCTTCAAATCTTAGCTTTCAGCAAGCAAGGTTGTGTCATCTGCATATAGTAGACTATTAATGAGTTTTCCTCCAAGTCTGATGCTGCATTCTTCTTTATTATATAATCCAGCTTCTAAGATTAGAAGTTGGACTTCCTAGTGTTGTCAGTCCACCCATCTGTGTAATTTTTCTCTAACGGTTCTCAGCTATGTATGTTGAATCAAAGCAATTTGATGATAGCACAGATCGGGGTTGGATTCTGTCATGTGGGTGCAGCAGAAGAGTTGAAGCACAAGCTAAATGAGATGGTAGGTCAAAGATTAGTTCAACAATTAACCATGTGCTCCAAGCTGGGCAGGACAAAAAGGCAGAAATCTGAGTGGGGCAATAAACCTGAAGAAAATGAAAGAATTAAACACTGAGCTTTCATGAAACAGGTAGGTGTAATGGAAATCAGAAACTGAGTTATTCCTGATGAAGAAACTCAGGTCTTAAGGTGTGCATGAACTCAGTGGAGCAAGAGATAAAAATTCTGGCTGTTGTGGCAGTTGAGCAACTTAGACTCTAGCTTCCTGGGTTGTACACACAGACATGAAATTACCATGTCACCATGGCAGAAATGAAGTGCAGATAAGTGTCAAAGAATGAAGTAACTGTGACCAGATGACAAAAAGGAGCAGAGACTAAGTCAGATAGTATAGGTCTGAGAGGGACCGACAAGCTGGAGAATGAATGAACTGAATTCAGCAATAAGGAGAGAGGAGAATCACTACAACAAGTAAAATAGTATAAGTATCATAAAAAACAAAGTTTGGGGGTCTTAGTTTAGTGCATGTTCTCAAAGTGTGTTTGACTCTATCTTGATTTGTTGCTCAATTATCCTTTGTCTCCTCAGACGTTCCGCATTGCACCCTCACTGTGCATCACCAAACCAGAAGTTGATTTTGCTGTGGAAGTATTTCGTTCTGCCTTAATTGAACACATGGAGAGAAAAGCTAAGTAAAGTTTTTGAAAAGAAAAAGGGGGGAAAAAAACCCACACGATTCTAGAGCTTCTCATGTTCAATGGAGAATTTGAAAATTTTCAGAATCCCTGGCATTTGGAGAAAACCTGAGGCTTTTGAAGAGTCATAAGAGACATGGTTGAGTGGTTACTGGTCATACTTGCTAACATGCCCCTAGTATCTTGAGAAATCCATCCTCCCAGGAAAGAAAATGTTAATTAGTCTTGATCAGTTCTGACAATCTAATTCCAGCTTGCAGTGATTGGTTAGTGCATGATTGTATGACATAATCTGAGCCAATAAATCTGGGAAACTTTTGTTGCAGAAAAGAGAAATATTTCTTTACTCTTGATCTCAAGAAGAAACTCCTACATTAAGATCATCATTATATCACATGTCTGGAACCACTTCATCCATCTTGAAGCCATGAAGAGAAAGCCTACTTTTGAGGTTGGGAAGGGGACTGAGACTGAATTCTTGATGATGTCAAGGACTCAATACCTTAACCAATCCTAAAACATCCCTACCTCAGAATGATGTATGCTTTTTCTATATGCTATCAAATCACATCTGATTCTTTAATATTCTTAAAACACTGGTATTTAGCATTATTTTGTATTGGTCACTATTATTATATATAATTCTAAGATGCTTTTTCATACAGCAATCCCCTAATTGGCAATAAAGCAATAAAAACTAAAAAACATAAATATGTCATACAATTCTTTAACTGGCAATGTTCTGTTGTTGTTTAGTGCCGTTAAGTCAGTTCTGACTCATAGTGACCCTGTATAGGGTTTCCAAAGAGAGGCTGGTGGGTTCGAACTGCTAACTTTGTGGTTCAAACTGATCTTGTGGTCCAGTACCTTATCCTACAGCACCACACATGATAGAATACAAGGTATATAAACCCATTTTTGGAGGAGAA